TGGGTTTTTTTGCTCATGGTTTGTGTTATGAATCCTGTTTGTGGTGTTTTCCCAATTTAATGCTGATGTCATTTACCTCATGTTGTTAAACATTTTCTGTCACACTCAGACTCCGTGCTTGAGAGGGGAAGTATTGCCTCTTAGAGGCGCCCAGGGGGTGATATGTAATTGTCCCAGGTCACTGGGTGGGGGCTCGAGCCGGTTTTGCATTGCGTTATTGAAACGGAACCCCTAGATCCAGAACCCGGCCCTTGTTGCTGCCACCTTAGATGGGCAGAAGGGTTACAGTTGTTTCTGTCCTGAGTCCCCTTACTGGTTCACCCTCCGCATTAACATTTCTGAACCTCCTTTGCTGTGTTTTGATTGGAGTCATACGCTGTACTTGCTCCCCTGGGACAATTAATTCTTGTGGTGCTTCTTTATTATCTCTGTGGGTGCTCAAATCTGGCCTGTCATGCCAAGAAATGTATGGAGGGGGTTCTGATTCTTCCCCTTTGCTTTGTGCTGCTGAGTTTTCCCACAGATAGTTAATCGATGGCGCAGTTGGCTGACAAATGCCAGGAGTGTGCTGTTCCCCTCCCAATCTGGAGTGTGTCCCAGGCATGGTGAATGTGATTCTTTTGCTCTGGGATTTTTTCCAATTTCTTGACAATTACATATTTTAGAGCACAGGCTCTTATTTTTCAGAGCCTGATTTTTAAATCTTAAAATTACATTTTAATTTTTTTGTTAAGAATATTTAGTAAAACTATTACTGCTTTGTCTGTTTTGTCACTTTTCTGATTATTCCACCAAGTAACCAGATCTGCCTCTGGTCCGGCTGCAGAGTAGTTTGCTTTTTTAGCTGCTGCCTGCCGAGTTTTGACATGTTTATATTCCAAGTACTCTCGAGGACTGATTATCGCCTCTCCTTTTGACGCCATGGGTTTTTAGTCACCCCGGCTGCTGATCTTGTTGGGAACGTACGTCTTCCCCCCCTAAATGCTGTAGTCTCAATCTCCACAGCCTGTCAGCCTTGATGAGGATTTATTTCCCCCCCCATTTTTATGCTATGGTCTCAATCTCAACAGCCTTGACAGTTTTTTATGAGGACGTCTCCCCCCTTTTTAAATACAGCACGGTCTTTAAAAAATGGAGATATCCTATCTCCTAGAACTGGAAGAGACCTTGAAAGGTCATTGAGTCCAGCCCCCTGCCTTCACTAGCAGGACCAAGTACTGATTTTGCCCCAGATCCCTAAGTGGCCCCCTCAAGGATTGAACTCACAACCCTGGGCTTAGCAGGCCAATGCTCAAACCACTGAGCTATCCCCCCAGTTACACACAATTGCTGGTCTTATTGGTTGGAGACTTTGTGCTATTCAAAAGCATGTACGTCACATGCCTGGGGGGGGGTACTCCCCTAGGACTTGCAATGTTACATGCAATGAGGAAATGGACCACCAGTTTGCACTGCCTACTGCTTGCGTACCCAGCCAATCCTGGGCTTAACTCACGGCCAATCACTTGCTGGGGTTTATCCAAGTCCTCCATAACACACCCCTTAGTTTAAATAGTACATAACCCTCTTGCACAAGTCTTCCGTCCCAAGTGGTACCCTTATTTAACCCCTTTGCTTGGACTACATGTGTCTAGGTTCCTTTATACAAATTAAAAAAAGGGAACAAGATGTGTCTGAAAGGGGATGAAAGGCTTCTATCCCTGGCCTAATGAGGGGGTAAAGTAAACATACTCACCTCCTTTGGATTTCAGTCTCAGATTCTCAGCCAGTTCACAAGCTTGAATCCCGGACAAGCCCCCAAACTGAAGGACATAAATCCACACTGTGTAGAGGTCAAGCATAGGAGTTTATTACACACAGCGCGGGCGGAGTGTCACCTTGCTTATTAGGTTCAGAGACACTGTCAATCAATTACAATAGAAAATATGGATTTTCCATGGGCGGGGGAAAGTGACGGGGTAGGCAGTTCCACACTCCGGGATAGGTCTGGCCGCAAGAAAAGATAGCACAGTAGCCAATGGTTAACAGGTTACATAATGTCTCTGCCCATGGTCTTAAGTTAGCACGTTAACATTTAATTAATACTTTGATAAAATGTTGTTAGGATAAAATATATATGTTGAATTCTGATTTGGGATTCATAGGACTGGAGTAGCTCCTCTGATTGTCCAGCAGATACGTTCCTAGGGGTTAAAACAAAGAAACAGTGACCGTATATGGCAACAAAGATTGTCTCCTGTGTGTTTTAAGGCAGGCATCGGTCCCTGGGAAAGGGAAGTGGGAGGAGGCCATATCTTATACTGACATGTGCCAACCTTTCATAAACTCAAGGTTGGACGTGGGGGAAGAACTTCTCCCTACAAAAGAAACTAACACAATAGGTACAGGGATTCTTTGTTTTTAATCTGAAACATTGAATGAAACATAATTATTCAGTTATTGCTTCAACATCTGGCATTTCTACTGATTAAGCAGATCTTAGCAAAGGCAAGGTTATCTTGTTTATTCTGCTTTTTCTTAGCTAATCACTATTTGCTAGACCTCTGACCTCTTGACCAAACTCTGGACTTTGGGCCTGTACACAATCCATATGCCACTTGCATTTTAATCCTTCATACATCATTTCCCTCCATAGGTGAGCTGGAACTACCCTCACAGGGAAAGGACCTCCTGTATACATGAGAACTCCATCTACTACCTGTAAATGCTGCTCATGTCTTCTGTACAAAGGCAGAAGTCACTGCTGTTAGTGACCCGTCTTTTTCTATCTTGGAAAGCTCTAGGATTACTCTCACTATATCCCTATCCAATTTCTGCATATCTTTTAAATCTGGTATGTCAGTCACAATTTAGTTGTGGCTATAGGGCATCTGGGACTAGGGGTAGTAACAGAATATTCCTGATCTTTTCCTTTCCAGAATTCCCCTAATCAGGTTCCTTCTCAGGCTAATTTCTCAGCCTTCCCATTTTCTTTAGCATAAGAGTCTAATTTCCTGTGAGCTTTTACTTTTTTCACTTTAATTGGCCACCCTGGAACAGTGATTACTGCTAACCAATGGATGTATTTCATCACGATGCATACATAATAGGTGTGCCACCAGAAGATGTAAACCCATTTTGTTTCCCAACATGGTAGAAATTCTGTGAGAGAATTGCACCCCCACGCAGAGTCTGAAAACAGACACACAGTATTCCAACACGCAAGCCACTGCAGCTAATGCAGCATATTGACCTGAATGTGGAGTGCATGAATATGCCTTCTCCCAAGGCTCTCCTTTCCCCTCAGGAGGAACTGCGTAGATTCCAAACCCGGTATATGGTTTGCCTTGATAGTAATAACTAGAACCATCAACAAAGAAATGATACCTATTAATGGACTCTGTCTCCTGGATCAATGGTTGGAAAAGCTTTTGTTTTGCCTTCCCCCTTAGATCCAATTGATCAAGATCAGGACACGCGTGTGGCTCTCCTTGATACAGTAGAGCAGTTGGTAACAAGGATGGTGTCCTAATAGGTTTGACTGCAATATCCTTCCCTTGCAGCAGTAATGCCGAGTGGGCTAGGTGAGTATTTGAGACTTGCCCATCTTTTACCCCATTGGACAGTAAGAACTGAAGGGGAGTGTGCGATGAGCATAATATGATTGGGCTGAGGCCAATTAGACAAGAAAAGTGTTGTATGACCAAACGGGTGGCCAATAGGT